ATTCGCTGAATTCCGTGATTTCATATTCATTGCCGGTTGTGGGGCTCCATTTAAAAACAGAAGAAACCTCATAACAAGCAACTGCAAGCGTAGCGAAAGAAACGAATATGGGTAGAAGCTGAAACAGAATTTCACTTGTTTTTTAACAAAAGTTATGTGACTTTTGAGTAAAAACTTTGGAAAAATCTCTAGCTGAAATTCATCGGAATTCTGGCAAGCTTAGCTAGTTGTACTAAATTATATCGAATGTTGTCACATATTCTCCTGAAAAAGACACGAAACAGAGCGTTGCTTTCGCACATAAGCTTAAGAATTCGGTTCGATCATTAGGGATAATTAATCCGTTCTGTGATTCGCTTATTCGTTTTGATGGTAAACTGGTACTGGTCAAAACAGTGTTCGGCTTGCTTGTAAGCAAATCTCAAGAGAGAGAGCTACTGAAAGCGTTGCCGGCAGTGATTATCATTGGCATATTATACCATTTGCGATACTCTGGGCGCCTATGTCTCTCACAGAAACAAACTTATATATCTGGTACATAAATCCATCACTTTATCATACAAAGAGAAAAAGAAGGCTAACACCAAAACTTAACTGCGATTGTATTGGCAAAAACAGTATTTTCAGCCAGAAAATCCTCGAATTCAGTTGCTAATGAGAGTAAAATTTTCGGTAGTTAGTGATGCCAGCAAAAAAAAAAAACAGTTTTTTTTTAAAGTCCACCTTCTACGCCAGTTTTTGCGCCAGTTAAGAGAAAGTTTTGGAGCGCAGGTTCTAAACGTGTGGAATACCGCTCTGTTCTGGAATCCGGGCTTCTTAGTTCTGATTGAAAACTTACAATAGCACGGCATCCCAACCAATTCTATACAACAATTTTGGCCGCTTAGCTGCAATAGCTTCATAGTATGCTTCGATTACCCACGTGATATCCTTCGCTATCAATTTTGACTGTAGCTGTTTGACGACTGCTTTCGCTGAAAATACTATCGTTACTAATTGTTATGACGATAGCTTTCGAATCTTTAATCCACGAAGCAGTCAGTGCCCTGTGGCGCTTTTTATTACAAATATATTTTATTTGTGGATTAAGGAAAGTTAGAAAGTTGTTAACAATAGTAAAGCCTTAGTAATAATATGAAGCATCAGTGGAGAATGGCGAGAGGAATTTAGATGAATTGTGAAAGGCAGAAATAATCAAAACGAAATGTGTATGTGATCACCTTTATCATTATAATCACTGCCATATTCGTTGCGAATTTCCTGCGACGATCGATTCCAGACGTTATCCATCATTCGCAGTAACCTGCCTGTGTCCTGCATACCACTTTCAAACGAACCTGGCATTATCATGATGACCTGCACACCGTATGGATTTAATTCATGCCTTAAAGACGATCATGGTGCAATGCAGTGAAGAGAAAAGCGGTTAAGTGAAGGCTAAGTTTGAGTTTGACGAATCTTACATTGGCAGGAGACATATATTGCTCTAAAATTTCAGCTTCCCATCTTTTGTAGTTGATCAGATAAAAATGCGGGACAAAACGCAAAACGCAATGCGGAACATACATACACATACAGATAGGGGTATGGCAACCTGTGCGTTTTGTGATGCTATTACGCATCTCAAAAACCAAAAAACTTTCACTAAATTATTCTGGAGGGTTTCGAAGTCAGCACAGTCCTGTTCTTATAGTACTGCGAACCAAGTGATTGGCGGTCAAAGGTTTTGCAAAAAATTGTTGTCAGTGCTTAGCTGGTAAAACGCACCATTGCAAACACTGTCTCTTCACGATTCGCCATAAGTGATCCAGTGCAACAAAACAATCACATTTTCGCCAAGATGCTCCATTTTGGCTTTAGTCTTTTTTTTCCATCTTTTTCTGCTAGCGATAAAGACTTCGCAGGACTGTGAAAGACTACCTGATAAAGTCAGTGTTATGAACTACCTGATAACATCAGTGTATGCTCCGAGAGCAGCCTTCGAGGAAGCATAAGGACCATAGCCAGGTATCGCAAATAGCATGCAACTGCTTCCGCACATTACAATCCGGCCCCTACAAGCAAAAAACCACAATAAAGATATTTTTTTTTCTTCAAAACCCATTCATTTTCGGTGTTTTAAAAAGATATCACACTGTCCGACATATCACACAAATCTTTTCAGAAAGCAGTACGAATATCAGGATCGCCATTTGGCGAAACAGCATTGATCAAAGCATC